AGAGCTGAAGCCAGCGCCTCACAGCATTTCTCTGTGAGATTACAGCTGTTCAGCCTGCAAAAGGAGCCGTGTCATTATACACACAGACCGGTATATATCCTACACATTAGTGATCATAGTGATACAAAATATCCAATCAAACTTTTTTTCGGCATAATAAAAGGCACAGATTATAGTTCAAAGAGAATTAGTAGCTAAACACAACACTACATTAAACCACCACAGTTAGAAAAGTGAATATGGTACATTTTTCATTTTGGCCAAACCTCTGATGGTCATCATGTTTCCTGTCATGAAGAATACAGTGAACATTTTCATTTCAAAGCACAAATTTCCTGAAAGGTTTTGTGTGGAGAACATTCAGGAACTGGATCAATCTACTCAAATGAGCAGCTGTTGGCACAATACAGGATCTCCTGTGAGGTTACTGTGTATTTTGGCCATTTTTTGCAGTTACATAATCATTGATAGTGGGTAAGTCTATCATAAGTTAACAGCCTATACTTTGAATAAAACTGTACATTTTAAAGTCATACAGACCATCTTCCCAATAATTTTCTGTACGTTATATTGCATTATCTTCCAGAGCCAGTTCGAATGAGGACATGAGTGTGAATATGCTCTAAAATCTATTCAGTCACAGGTTCATTAAAATATATCAGATGTTTTGTTGTTTCAATGTCCTTGAAACTCTGTAACCACCTGCAAACCACTTTTTAATGCACTGCTGTTTAATGACCTTAAAGGGCCAGTTACCCTGAGACTCTTTAATATCTGCATAAGTATTTCCATAAAGCTCTGAGCAGCGCTGTGGCTAACAATCCTGTCAGATATGCTTTTATAAGAAATATTAATTTAAAATAAAATATTTCTAAATAGTGATACTTCTTTCATCACCGTGGGGAAATTGTCTTTTCATCCATCCCATTCTGCTCCCTGAGACACACAGATACACACAGGTGAGAGGAAGTTTGGGGTCACAGCACAGGGTCGGCCAGCATCCAGCCCCCTGCACTGATTGGCATTAAGGGATTTGCTCAAGGGACCAGCGATGACATCACTCTGCCGGCCAGGAGATCTGAACCAGCGACCTTCCACTCACGGGCACAGAGTCCGAACATTCTGTGAAATTCTGGCTCTTGGCTGGTTGTCACACAAAGGACAGTCATGGAAAACCTGTTACTTTACTACGTCACTAACTTCAGTCAATATAAAATCTGGCTTCCAGATTGTCATGGTGAAAAAAAATCCAGCCTCGTGATTAATCCACAGGGGAAATAAATGTTACATTTTCATTATATACTTTATACAATGTTAATATATAACTGCCTGACTGGAGGTGTTGTTATTGGCAGGAAAGCACACAGAGTTTCTTTGTACATGTACTGTGACAATGAAGATATTCTGTTCTGTTCTCTACTCAGCTAGGAGCAGCTGTGGCCAGCAGAGGCCGCCAGTGAGCAGCCAGAGACAGCAGCCATACAGACGCTCCCAGC